CACAGAAACCTGGAGAGCTTTCTTGCTAGAAGGATTGTTTGTCTTCTCTACCCTCTTCCTCTGGGTTTTGTCCCCCTGGCCTGGCCCTTCTGCCTTGTTACTGCTGTGCCCCGGGCCCCTGTAGGCAGTATTGTCTGATTCACTGGAGCTCCTTAGAGCTCCCACCCTGCTCGAGGATGCTGGTGGCAGGATGAGTTCAGAGCTGAGGCCAGGTGTGGGATTCTGGTGTTAATGAAAATTAGCCTGGATACAGCATTCACCATGCCACAACTTGGGATGCGTTATCTTAATTATCTCCAGGGAAGGCAGGTCATCTGGCCACAGCCAGAGGCGGCTGTGGGGTGGAGCCTGGGTCTCCATTCGGGGTTTTCTGGCACCTATTGTATGGGGGCTTCATAGGTTTTGATGACKGGGTCATGGTGGGCACGTTCTCCACCACTGAGCCACACCGCCAGCCCCAGAACTCTGAGTGGGGGCTGGGAGAGGTCTTGGGAGGAGGCTGGAGGCCCTCACCCCTTTCTAGCCAGAGCTCCTTCTGTTTGTCCAAAAGGCTGTTGTGGGCACAGAACAAAGATGCCCTGAAGCCTGCCCATCAGACACCCTGGGACTTTCCTTGTGTGCATGAGCCCTCTTAGTTTTCACTAATAGAGTCATTTACAATTTCTCTCTGGGCTATGCTGGTGGATGAGTTTGACACTCCCCCAAAGAACAGCTGTTGAGCTAACTCTGGATTCAAGGTAGAGGACTTGTGTGGCTGCTATGTGGCCCCAGGGGCTGGGAGGAGGCCCCTCTGCCGCCTGGGAAGGTCCCCCATGGGAGGCTGTCCTGGCCTGGGGCCTGAGGAAGAGGCTCAGCAGATGGGGGGTGGGGGGACGACTGTGAGACTTACGTACCTTGAAGGTGAGCAATTCCAGACTGACCAGTAACATCATGAAAAACGTGTTTAAAACATTTTCTGAAATTTCTTTTAAATAGCTTAGTTATGWGGTGGTTTTCTTTGGTCTTGTTCTGAATGTGCCTTGACTGAGAGTCTGGAGTCCTGCAGAGATTCAGGATGTAGGAGCTGTATGTCCTCGGAGTTAAGGCTTTTGATGGTTGTCTCAGCAAGGCACATAGGACTGTGGCCAGCATGGCTCCTCGGTGGGGCCCACACACCTGCACAGAACCAGGGTCTCTGTGCATGTGGCCCTTGGGCTCCCAGATGAGCTTGGGCCCATCTGCTCCCCAGGGGATGGTGCTGAGTCTGGGCCATGGCTTCTGAAGCTCTTCTGGGGATGAGCAGGGCCACCAGCTCTGGTTGGTGGGGRCACCTCAAGGGGTGAAGAGAGCCACTCTAGAGAGTCCGCCTTGGGCCTGACACCCGCAACTCCTGACCAGTGGCCTGGCCTCACAGCTGCCTGGGGCCACATGGTTCCAAAAGCCACAGTCTCGCCCTGGATCTTGTCGCCACCCTACCTCAGCCGTCCAGTGACTGCTCTGAACTGCAAAACACCTGCATCAGGTGCCCATCCTGGCTGCACGTGGTCCCTTTGGAAATGCTTSGTTCCAAGTTCATGGGCTGCTGGCAACCCTGCCAGCTTGTCATTACCAGGGACCAAGGTCCTGGGCCCCAGGGCCCTCCTGCCCTGTCCTGGAAGAGTGCTTTCTGTAACTGTCTCCCCTACCCCTGACTGGCCCCGGGGCAGCACATTGTATGAGGAATAGCTGTTGTCATAAGAGATGTGCCCACCTCAGGATTTTTGGTTTGTTTGTTTTTGCAATGCCAGGGGTTGAGCCCAGAGTCTCCTGCCAGCTGGGAACATGCTCACCCCCAAGTTGCACCCCCAGCCCACACCTCCCTTTTTGAATCACCAGAATCAAGAGATCATCCCTTCCAGGCCGCCACTCTCTGTGGCTGTGCACCATGAGACTGTGCCCAAGCCATTATGTGTATTTCTGTCACTGAGTGTGTTTGCACTGATAGGACTTGTTTTTTTTTTTTTTTTCTTTAGGACAGAATCTTGAGCCCCTGTTGCCTAGGCTGGTCTCTAGCTGCTGGGCTCACACAATCCCCCACCTCAGCCTCCTGAGCGCCTGGGGCGACAGGGTTTAAAAGTTAATGTATTTTGTCCTTCTTCCCTGTTAGATAATATGCCACATGGCAAAGCAGTCAGAAGGCACACACTGCAGGGCAGGTGGCTGGCCGTCCCTCCCCAGAGCCCGGGGTACAAGTTTTCTTCTGCGTTTCTCTAGACTYCTCCCTTGGAGCCTGTCCTGGTGGACACATCGGCACTCCTGACCTTTTAAGTAGTGCTGACATTTGGACACTTTGCTCTTTTTGCTTAAGTATGTCCTGTTGACCATCCCTTCCTACACAGCACGTACAAGAGTATTTTTCGGACCATCGTCCTGCAGTCTGAGTGGCCAGGCCAGATTTGCTGTTGGGGGGCATTGTGGCTTCCCGGTGTTGCGGCTCTGTGTGACTTGAAGCTGTTCCGATGTGGGCACYCTGCTCCCGTTTACTGTGACTGTGACTCCTGGGCTAAGGGGTCTCTTTTGGTCCCTCCCTCAACACACAAGGTTCCCTTGTTAAGTGTCATCGTGTTGGGCACTTGGAGTCTAGGCGGGCTTGGTGGGCAGGGGRACATGTCCAGTTTGTGTTTAATAGGTGCCTCCTCCCTCTGCATTGTGCCCACAGCCTGGGAACCAGCACCTTGGCTTCCTTCAGGAGGACTTGGTGGTCCCCCTGCCCCCTGCCAGGGGCCTTGGTCAGATTGTGAGCCTTAAATCCTGCCAGCCCCCTCTGGGCGGTTGAGGCTCCCTCCTGTCCTCTGCTGATCTGTTTCTGTGGTGGCAGGTGGCAGTGTGCTGTTGAATTTGGAGACCCCTTTTGTTGGCCTGCACGTGTCTGCAGGCATGGGGAGGGCACGTGGGGGCCTCTGCGGCAGGTGGCCTCCAGTGCGCTGGCTCTGCGATGCCAGGGTCAAGGTGGGTCTGCCCGCTGTCACCTGTTCAGCTCAGGCTTCCTGACCAGCCAGCCTGCCCAGGGAGGGACCCCGAGCCAGAGGCCAGACGGTGAGCCCAGGGACAGAGGGGCCTGCAGACCCCTCACTCTGGGGACTCCTCAGTCATTTACCCACACTCCCCACTAGGAAGGAAGGCTGGGACCCCACAAGTCCCCCTGTGCCCCCCAAATCTGGCACCTCAGTGTCTTAAAGAAGCCAGCAGATGCCCTGACTGGGTGGCTGACCCGGGTGGACTTCCTGGTGGCGCAGGCGCCAGGGCTCTGTGTCGTTCTCTTGGTCCTCTGTGTGTGTGCCTGGAACAAACGTCAACCCTTCGTTTTTGTCATATTTCAATATTGGCTTTCATCCCCTCCTTGAAGCCTCCTTTTATAACTTCTTCTGCTGCTGCTTAAATATAGACGTCTGCGTCCTCCTCCTCGCCAGATTGTTTATATTTCCGAGCGCCTCCTGCGTATCTGTGGCTCCTCTTCTCGTCCCAGCCCGCTCTCCCACATGCGTGGCGGTTGCTCTTTTTCCCTGCCTTCCCTCGACTGGGATGCGTTTCAAATGTGGTCTATCAAAATGCTCAGTGTTTCCCTCTTTTCTGCAATAGCTTTGACATCTGTTCTCGAACGCTAGCCCACGATATTCTCTTGGACTTGTTTGCCCAAATTTTGCTTTAATGCCAGAAATGCTAAAGGGGGAGTGTGGYGTGGCGGCACCTCCCCTCCCAGCCCCTGTGGCCCCCCGCCCCCACTGTCCACGATTCCTGAGCTGACAGCCTGCTGGGTGGTTGTCCCCGCTCTCTGTCATCTTGTCTGGCTGTGGGCCACCCCATAGTGGTACCAGGAGGGCTTTGGGGCCCACTAGGTTATTCTCACCAAAAAGGAAACTCACGGGAACCTGAGGAGGTGGGTGGAGAGAAACCCTTAACTGTGGCATCCTGGGGGAGTCAGTGGTGGGTCCTCGTGGCCTTTCTGAGCCTTCAGCAAGATCCTGGCTCTGCTAGACTGCAGGGCGTGCCGGTCCTTGCCACGAGAGGCCACTTGGAGCAACCATCTGAATCCAACGCAGAATGAGCTGCCATTGCAGCTTCAGAAACTGAACCAACTCAGGAGACGGTGGGCCTTTGACTGGTGACAGCCACGTGGCTTGTGCTTCTGCCACGTGCCTGGAGCCCCACTTCTGGGCCCATGTGCCATAGCCTGCTTTACATCACTCCTGGCAGCTTTCCGCAGAATCCCTGAGGCCAGGGCACAAGTTCCTGACACCAGCGTCAGGTTGCTGAGTAGAGCAGAGCCCAGTGCCCTCCACCCAGGCAGGTCTTCTTCTGGGGACCCCCTGCAGTGGTCCCCAAGTCTGTCCAGGACAAGTAAGATTGCTTGAGAGCCACTGCCCCTCCAGGRGCCTTGCTTCTGGGAAGTTTACAAGATTTTGGAAATAATTATATTAGAATTTGCCTTTTAAAGGTCCCTCTTGAAAACTAATAACAGGTTAATKGTCCTGAGTGTGGTGCCTGACCCAGAATTAAGCTCCCTGTAAATATTTGTTGAATGAAAGCAAATCAGATGTGACTGTAAGATCCCAGGCCTGCATCACGGAAGGACAGCAAGACAGAAGCCCTGGTGGGAAGCGCTGTGCTCAGCAGGGGACTGGGACTCAGGAGAGTGGCCCCGGAGGCCTGCTCAGAGCATCGTGAGCCACTTTGGAGGGACACATTGCCGACATTGGTGTGGAGACGCTGTTTCTGTGCGTGCTATTTTAGCATGGCCACTGGGCAATGTGCGTGGGGAACAGCATGGCGAGCGTGGCAGGCTGAGCAAGCTTGGGTTTCTCCAGCCAGGGCCTGTGGGGCAGGGGGATGGTGCTCACTGCCCCAGTCCCTCCTCTGCCCACGAGTGGGTGTCTCGGAGCCCCAGGGGTCTCTGTTGAGTGTCCTGGTCAGGTGGACATGTGAACCCTTCTGGTAGAAAGTACGATCACAWTCCTTGTTTTCCTTCTTGTGTCCCTCCACAGAGAGAACTCGATGCCACCGCGACAGTGTTGGCGAACCGTCAGGATGAAAGCGAACAGTCCAGGAAGCGGCTCATCGAGCAGAGCCGCGAGTTCAAGAAGAACACTCCAGAGGTGAGGGGTTCCCTGGAGACCTCCCAGAGGGGCTGTGGCTCTCGCGCACGCCCAGGACACGCGTCTCCGGCGTTTTGTGGTTCATCAGACAGTGTGTGGCCAGCCACCTGCCTCTTTTGCATGGTCCATAGCCCCAGCAGAACATTATGCGTGCYCTGCGTGGGCTCTGGGGACGCGGCAGTGGATAGCTTGTCTAGGAACATCATGGCACTGGCTGACTCCAGGTGCAGGTGTGGAACAAGCTGGGTGGGCACCGTGCAAGTGCAGGTGCAGACGTGTGGCCCGTTCTGGCCTGTGCCCCACGGTGGGTAGAGGTCACCAGAGTCCTTATGGACATGTGGGGCGGCCGTGGGTCTGCAGCGGAGAGTCTGAGGCTGCGCCTGTGAGGCCCATCACCCGACGTTTCTTTTAGAGCCGGCATTTCACCTGCTGCGGCCTTTGAAACGCCTTTGCTGAAGTGCACTGTAAAGGGCTCTGGGAACCGCTCTTCATATGCTCCTGCATCTTTTGAGTATCACTGGGAGGATAGTGCCCAGAGTGGCGGGCAGCGCACTCTTCGTCTGTCTCCCAGGTCCCTTTGTGCCTGATTCAGGCTTAGTGAGAAATACCAAGAAGCCAGAGTCCTCCAGACAGATGGACAGCTGGGTGGCTCTCAGGGCACCTGCAGGGTAGCCCGCCCGGCTCTGGGGCGAGTGGGCTGCCACCGCCACAGACCTCAGCAGTCTCCCTGTGGCTCTTGGCTTTCCAGGGAGGACAGAGGAACAGGCCTGGGAGAAAAGCCACTTTGGGGGAGGGCACCTTTCTAATCCACCACTCCTGGGAAGTGAYGCAGGAGCAGAGGCTTTACAAGGGGATCCATTTTAAATGTCTCAGCAGAACTCGCTCTCCAGGGCTGTCCTCATGGGGCATTCTGGAAATTGAATAATTAACCTCTATTTTAGAATCAATATTTTGGGTGGAAGCATGGTGGCACAGGAGGAGTAGCGGGGCTCAGCGGACCTGCTGAAGTCTCAGGTCTGCCACCTGCTGCCCACCCCCCACCCCCTGCCAAGCTGCGCTCCAGTATGGCTGTCCCGTGGAGACACCTGGCCCTCTGGCCCTCCCTCCTCTAGCCAGGCCTCCTGCAGTGACAGGGGCCGCCAGGGCCACAGAGGCGCAGAGGGGTCGTGGGCTCAGGTGGCACACTGGGGTCTGACAGCACATGCGGAACCTCAGGGTATGCCAGCCCAGGTCCCAGAAGGGACATTGCATTATCATTCTGTTTGGGGTCTGGGTCCCAGGGACCCGTGGCTTCTTCTCAGCACTGGTCACTGCCTCTGGCTGTGCCACTAGACAAGCAGGTCACCGTTCACTGTGGAGTCAACATGCCTGGACACTGAACATGGGAAATGTAGGGTGCTTAGAACTTCATGTGGCAGTGGCTAAAATATTTGGTTTGTCATCAGGGAAAGCAGCCCCTGTCTGGAGGACACCACCATGGTGCTCAAGGTCCCCACTCCTGACCAGTGGGGCCTGCTGGTGTGGGCTACAGTGCTGAGTCTCCATGTGCATGCCCCCTCCCTCTGCTCTGTGAGAGTGGAGCATTTCCACCCATGTCCCCTGAAGTTCTGAGCATCTGACATCAGGGGCTGCCCAAGCTCTCACCAGGGAGTGGGTGTCGGCCTAGGAGGCCCTTCAGGGTGACTGGAGAGGCTCRGGGCCAGGAGGAGAAGGCTGGATGGGGTGGTGCTGCAGGAACAGCAGGGCGCTGGGATGGCTGGAGCCTGAGAGCTTTGGTTTAGAGTGGATTGTTTTAAGTTTCACCACTTGGTATTCTCACTTGCATCTTTTTAATCCAAAAATCGCAGTTAACTTGAAGGAYACTGCAGTTACTCTGGATAAAGTTTTACACATTTTCTTTGAATCAAAAAGAATAAAAAATGCGTTTAAATTTTCTGAATGAACATCCATCCCTAACTGGACTGATGATCGCTCTCGGAGCACAGCAGCAGGATTTCCGTGGCATRTGGCTGTTCATGTTCGTTGTCGTGGGCGACTTGCTGGCTGCGTGGCTTTGGGCAAATCACTTCACCTCTCCAGGTTTCATTGTTTTCATACCAAACCAGCCGGCTCTCCCACCAGGCCGGCTTGTGGGGCTGCAGCGTGGTGTGTATGGAGGGCTCTGCGCAGGCCTGGCTCCTGGCCTGCAGAGTGTTCGTGGTTGGCATTGAAACGCCCACTGCACGATKCATTAGGCATAAAAGATTTCTGGCCTATGGGGCCAGCTCAGGGAATGTCATAGAAAGACCCCAAACGAAGCTAGGTAGTCAGCTCACCGTCTTCCCAGCACAGTCTTTAGGATAGTCCGTCACTTCACAGGTACTTATGGAACACTTTCCAYGGGCCATAGGCTCAGCCTGGGGGAAGGCGCTGTCCCTGTCTTGAGTTCCTTGTCTTTCTCACCAGGCAGCAGGGCGGGTGTGGGCGCGCTCAGCCGCATCTTCTGATGAGATCAGCCCCGGAGCACTTCTGTTTGGGGGCTTTTTGTTCATTTGTTTTGTAGCTCCTAGACTTGAACCCAGGGTCTCGAGCCTGCCAGGCAAGTGCCCCACTCTGAGCCACGCCCCAGCTGTGAGCCCCAGTCTTGACCCTTAACATCGATGAGCATGCAGCACCTGAGCCCCTGCTTAAGAATGCAGTCCCCTAGATGCCTGCTGCCTGTGTCYGCTGCCAGGCCAGGAGGAGCATCTGGGTCTCCACCACCCTCCTCTGCCTTGCACCCAGAGAGTGGATGCTAAGGGGGGAAGGAGCCCAGGCCCCAGAGCTCAGGGGGTGATGAGGGGCACCAAGGCCTGACTCTGGCAGAGACAGCTATGCCCTGGCTGGGGCTGGGTGCTGTGGCACAGGAGATGGGTGCAGGGCAGAGACAACCATGGTGTGACGGGGCTCCGTGGGCTGGCTGTGGTGCAGGCACCTCTGTTGCGGGAAGCAGCTTTGCTCCTGCCCAGGGCAGGCGGCTGCAGGGATGGAAGCGGATGGGTGTGGGTCTCGCTGCCCGGCGTCTCCTCAGCCTCTCTGTGGTCATGTCAGAGGTGAGGCGGGCCCTGGGTTTCCCAGGGGGGGTTCCAGGGAATAGATGAGGCTGTGGCACCAGAAAACCTGCTACTTCTCTTCAGGGGTCACCAGGGGTGGCTCTAGAGTCCCATTCTTCTACCTAGGAATCACCTCTTCCTGCTTTTCCATTCTGTTACTTTGTTGTTTGCTGCTTGTGGTTTCATGGTCCTGGGGATTGAAACCAGGGGTGCTCCACCACTGAGCCACATCCCACCCCTTTTTGTTTTGAGGCAGGGTCTTGAYAAGTAGTTGAGACTGGCCTTGGATTTGTGATCCTCCTGCCTCAGCCTCTTCAGTATCGAGGCTCACCACATCCAGCTCCTTCAGTTCACTTCTGCGTTTGCTCCCACAGCTGCTTTGTGCCCAGCTGGGCCTGTCCACGTAGCCGGCTATGGAGCCCATGCTCTTGGTGGCTTCCTGATGGAACAAGCATCTCTCAGCACACAGATGCGTTGGAGGCTCTTGGGGCAGAGTCTCGGGGGCTTTGGGGAACACACTGTCTGACTGGCAGGACAGTGGAGACCTGCCACAAGGAGTAATGTGGCGGAGAGGGACTAGTCCAGTGAGGACCAAGTTGCCTAGGGTGATGTCCTTCCAGGAACGCAGCGACTAATAGCCTCCTGCCACCTGGGACTGTGACGCGTGACCGCAGGAAGATGGTCTCAGTGTCTGACTGCTTCCAGGGAGACCCAGGTGTGCTCTTTGCTCTGTGGRGTTCTTTTGCTTTTCTTATCATGGTGCTGGGTGGACCTGGACCTCGCAGGAGGCACATGCTCACCGCTGGGCCATGGCCCAGCCTCCCCCTGCTCCTTGGCTTTTCGGGGAGGCCAGCCTTTGTGGGAAGGAGCGGGAGGAGAGCCGAATCCTGGTGCCGCGGTGTTCCTCACCTGTGTCCTGGGCACCGGTGCCAGGTCAGCGTCCACTCTGCCCTGACCATTTCRGGGTGTCTGGCTTGCTCCGCTCCCATCTCGCCCTGCAACGTGGCCACATGGCCTCCAGGCTGCTCCTTGCATGCCGTTCCCTTGCCYCCACGTTGCCTGCTGGCTGGCGCATGGACCCTCAGGACACCTGGGTCATCATGCTGGTTGCTTTGTGTCTGTGCCATCTACATCTGTCCTGTCAGAAGCATGTGACATCATACTCCTGTCGCCAGCAGCAGAGCTCGGCTCTGGTCCTGATCGTTGGGGACCCAGGTCCCTGGTGGTCAGACCCAGGCCAGCCCATCTTCTTCCCTTGTTGTCTGGCCTAGGGCAGTGGCCTGGCCGGGCTCCTGTCCCCGACTCTGGTGCTGGTATGACGGGGCATCCCTGTGCTCACATGTCAGCTTGTTTCCTGACGCCGAATCCTGGCTGGCCCTTCGCCTCAGGCCCKCGACCCTCTGTTTCCTCCCTGCTTGGGCTACGTCTGCAGGTGGACTCGGGTGAAGCCTTGCACCTCTGTGAAGTGGGCTTGGGTCCTGGGCCTCTGCTCTTTATGGACCAGGAGGAAGTGCTCCTGAAGTCAGGTGGAAAGCAAGGGCCACAGTCCTCCTGTGCCAGCTTTGTACAAAGGTGAGGGGGACGAGGACTGCGAGATGCCGTGGACTTGGGCTGCGTCGTGGTCCCTGTGCTGGCGCAGTGTGGAGGAAGGTGTGGGAGCGCAGGACAGCAACACGTAGCTGTGGCCTTCTGTAGGCACCGCAGGAGTGACTCTCTGGAAGGGGTGCCCTGCAATACAAGGCCACTCCAGTGGACAGTCATGCGGGCTGCTGGCAGCTGGCTGGAGCCYGGGCGTCCTGGCCTGTAGGTGTCCTGGGTGAGGCGGGGCACTGGGACAAGGGTGATGGCTGAGGAGTCGGTCAAGGCCACCTGTGGCCCCAGTGCTGTTGGGCGGTGGCTCCCTGCTGCGTGTGTACRCGGTCCGCCGGG